TGTATCTGGTAAAGATCCCATTAAATCCAGATGAACATGGTGGAAACGAGCATTAGGGGTTTTGAAAGAGCCTGAGGGACATTTGTTGTGTCTTATGACCTTAGATTTCTGGCAGCTTACACAGGAGTATGCCCACTCCCTCACGTTTTTATCCATACCAGGCCAGCGAAATCGTTCGGCTATAAGCCTGATGGATGCACGAACACCTGAATGAGGAAGATTGTGCAACGTATTGAAGACGTTGCGTCGATAATGTTTTGGTACGATTGGATGATCCCTACCTGTAGATGTGTCACATAGTAAGGTTTACTTACCTGTTCCCATTTGCTTAATACTTAGTTTAAGAGCTGTCGAGTACAACTCATGTTGAAGATCAACGTCTTCTTTTTGAAGCTGAGCGATTTTTGGAAGGTCGATTCGTTGGAAACTGTTCAAGGAACTTACACGAGACAAGGCGTCTGTGACTACATTGTTTGCTCCAGAAATGTATTGTATATCTGAAGTGAACTGCGAAATGTAGTCCATTTGTCGAGACTCTCGCGGTGAGTACTTGTCTGAAGATGAACTTAAAGAAAAGGTAAGAGGTAAAAAGTGTAAATTCTCTTCCTTCGATGGAATGTTGGAAATGTCGTACAGTACAATACATAGCTAGGAGTTCCCTGACGAACGTGCCGTACTTAGATTACGCGTCTAGCAACCGTCTGGAGAAAAATCCTAAATTTTGCCAAGAGTGGTTAACCCATTGTTGTAAGACGCCTTTGATTGCTGAGTCGGATGCGTCTACGGCGATACTAATGGGCGCTTCAGTGTCTTGATGTGCAAACCGGGTTGCTTTAGCGATATGTTCCTTAACTGTGAAGAATTCTTTTCGCGCAGTGTCGACTAGATTTATTGATTTCCACGGAGTTGGTCGATTAACGGTTTCACAAGGGATGCGCATTTAGGTATGAAGCGTCTGTAGAAACTTACGAGGCCGTTAAAAGTTCGCAATTGCTTAATCGTGGTCGGTTCTGGGTAATCCAGAGTGGCTGCCACTTTACTACTAAGGGGTCGGATGCCTTGAGCATCAGTGGTGTGTCCTAAGAAGTCTAAGGAGTTTGTTCCGATTTGGCATTTCCGAATGTTGACCGTAATGCCATGCTTTTGGAGTCGTTCGGAAACAAAGTCCAGATGCTTGAGATGTGATTCTCTGTCCGGACCAGCTATTAGACAGTCGTCAACATACGCATGTATGAAGTTAAGACCTCAAAGTACGTAGTCTACGAACCTTTGAAAGGTTTGAGCAGCATTCCCTAGGCCGAAAGGCATTCGTAAGAATTCGTAGAGGCCGAAAGGAATTATAATGGCGGTTTTTGGAATGTCGTCAGTTGCCATAGTAATTCGGTTATAAGCTTTAATCAAGTTGATTTTCGAAAAGACAGTTGTACCTTTCAAGGTAGCTGTCAAATCGTGATAGTGAGGCAACGGGTAACGATCGTGAATGGTTTTAGCATTCAGACGCCGATAATCACCAGTTGGCCGCCAATCATTGCTACCCTTTTTAGGGACCATGTGCAAGGGAGATGACCTCGGGCTATTCGGCGGTCGAATGATTCCTAAGTCATTTTTAGCCAACCTAAGCTTTTCGGGAGCCAGTCGTCGGGCTTTCGAGAATACAGGTGGTCCTGTAGTCGAGGTGTGATGTGTAACGTTGCTGGTTGCACAAGGCAATTTCGGTTGTGGTTGATACATCCTGGAGTATTTATCGAGTAATGGTTGATATAAGGGGTCTATGGTGTCGTTAATTGTGACTGGAGAAATTCTGCAACCAGAAAGAAGAGTTATGCAAACAGATAACTTAGTGGTTCCGTCTACCAGCCTTCGTTTGTGGAATCAATGAGTAGATTGTGGTGTTGTAGCAGGTCTATGCTAATGATTGACAAAGAAACATCTGCGACCACGAAAATTCAGTGGATGGGTTTGCGTAAACCCACGTTAAGGTAGACGTACCTTTGACCATACGTAGCAACCGTTTTCCTGTTTGCCGCCTGTAAGCTTAAAACAGACTCGTGAAGCCTGTCGTTAGCATTAGCAGGAAGAACACTAACTTCTGCGCCAATGTCGACGAGGTAGAGACCTTTCGTTGTCATATCCGTGACATATAAAAGGCGGCTATGTTCGCCGTTACCGCGTTCCGGCTGGGATGCTTCTCGAACTGTTTTTCGTGTCATTCGATTTTGAGGCCGGATAGCTCCAGGGTTTCTCGCAATTTCTAGAAGACTTACCATACTGGTTATTATACCAGCACCAGTCAGCGTTATCCGTCTCTGGTGGTCTCGAGACAGATCGCCTACGTGAAACACTTCTCCGCGGGGTTCTTGACCGTCTACGGTCATTGCGAAACCGAAGATAGTGTGTCAACGTGTGACGTATTTCCGTGATGTCATTTGGGGTCGATTGAGGTTTTTCTTCGACTGAAAAGACTTCGGCGTTAGTATATTTCGTGATTTATAAAATGCGGTCGGCAGATGCAGCCAGTTCGGCACTGTTTTGAAACGAGATGAGAACCGCTTGCACCTGTTGAGGAAGTTTAGACAAGAAGAGTTGTCTGAATAGGCCATCATCGAAAGTTCGTTGACCGATAACTTCTCTCATCCTTAGCAACATGTCTGTCGCAGAACCATGTTGCAGGTCGATATTATTAAGAAGTTGATTCAACCTTTGCCGACCGGTTAGATCTCCGCGTTTCATAATCGATCTTTTTAGAGTTTCATAATGTTCTGAAACATCACTAGTAAACGTACTAAGTGTTACGTACCTGTTAAATTCGCTCGGAACTGGGTGCGTGAGTCCGTGATCCCGTGCCCGCGAAAGTCGGTTTCTTCGTAGCAGAACCAGACATCGATATTGTCCGGTCAAAATGGTGTTAACTGAATCAAGGGTGGGGGGATAGTCTTTACCTTAAATAATTTTGGTGTCTGTTCCGTTATAGTATTATAAAGAACGAAAAATATATAACTGAAATGTATCCGAAAAACCGAAAGGAAAAGGTATATAACAATATACAAAAGTCAACCAAAGAAAAACAATGAATAATGACGTTCCAAAAAGAACAGACAGTTTATTGTTCGGTGTGTCAGATCACGTCGATTTCAACACTGAAGTAGTTTGACAACTATTAACCAGTAACACCTTCTTTAATCGAATCTCGCCTCACTCAGTTAAAATCAGAAGTCAGATGCAAAGAGGTTGGAAAGATATATTTGGTGCGTTATCAATATATTGAGAAGTGGTTGATATATTCTGGCTAGTGATTGTAGGGGATGTTTCCCACGCTGAGCTGTGACGTGATCTGTTGCGGATGCATAACCGGACGCCTTCAGACAAGTCCACTAAAACTAATACGGTCAGCATCCAATGCTGAACACTTAAAAAGTTATTGATTTTGGGAACTATTTACAGCTACACATTTACTAGGTTGGATCCCTCCGTTGGCCGCATATTAGGCAGTTGAACGTTGCAGTAGGATGTTTTTGTTGGCGATCTCGTGGCATCGAAACAATGCTGACATTGTGCCAAAGTCTACAAGCGGGACTACCGAGCGTACACGAGTTCGAGCAAAATCACAAAACAACGGAAAAGTGTCTTTTCGATACACTTAAACAAACTGGTACAGTAGGACAATCACTGGTACAATTGGTTGTAATAATAATTGCTTCTGTTTTACCGACAACGTTCTCGTCATAAAAGAAGTTCACTACGATATGTTAGTGATGATTACTATAGAACTAACCAGCGCAGGCAATGACGTGACTTCTATATAAGATCTTATACATTAAGTAGTCATATCATGACAAAACCACAACTTTAGAATTAGGTCTTTTACTATAATAGTACTAATAACGAAGTCAACCATAATTCTACAAGCTGATACGTCTGTAATTTTATGGAGTTTGTCTTGGTCCTGTTTTGTGTATTGGAGTGACGACCGCATCCTTTCAGTTAGAAGTCAGCATACCTTGACCAAATGATATATTGTATATTTCACAGTTAGCGGGTGCTGCACGTTGTCTCAGGACTTTGGGGTGTAGTTCATTCGGTCCTGTTGACGTTTACATGTCTAAAGTGCTAAGAGCCTTAACTACATCGTCTGGATCAAAGCCCACAGTGAGCAGACGTATTGTTGACTTTTTATTTCGGTCTAGTTCTTTGTCCAGAAGAGGTTGTTGAGTGAAAACTGTCCCGAAATAATCTACTGTAGCCTCTGCTTTTTCCTGATCATCGTCTATCATTTCAAATCCAATCCTTTCCGTGATTAGGTCGTGGATACAATGCTGCGTTCATGTTTTGCAATTTATTCACAAGAACATTTTCTTAGTCTTCTTGATTACAGATTGAGCTAACTGAATTTCATATTTTCTCTGAGCTACCCAGATTGTTATCATAAACTTACTTGTTACCTACCTGTAACGTTCCATCATACTTGTTGTGCCAGTTCTGATGGCAACGTTCCAACATTTTTTCTTTCGTTTTAGTAAACGTCGAATATCCCGGCTTATCCAGGGATTTCTGTGTTTATTCTTCTTTAAAAATATCCAGGGCATAAATGGTTGAGTTACATAAGTGTATATCTGCCAAAATGACTCCATGACTTTTCTAATGATGCTGCAGAGTTGATCGCCTTCATATCTGCATTCAATAAGTTGGGATGGGCCAACAAAAATGTCCGATAGACCATCTTAGCCATGAACTTGAATAAAAAGACTGCATGATCACTTTTCCTTATAGGTGGAAGGAAAGTTATCTGACTGACATCATCACCGTGTGTGAAGATTAGATGCGAGAGACACGAGGAGTTTTGTAATTCATATCTAGTAGGATCTCTGATGTGCTAAGACAAATTTAGCTTTAACTTTTTGAAAGATTTGAGTATTAGTTTTCAGACACTGAGTGTCTGAGATCTTCTTTCAGTGGCAAGTAGAAAACTCACTTTCCTATGACAGGGTAAAAGAAATAATTGAATGCTTTGTCGCTCAATTGCAGACTATTGGGTGCCTCAGGAAGTAACTATTCCTGTTGTTCGACAAACAATATGTAAATGTCAATTCAACTTTTGTTTGCTGTACTTGGCTCCAAATGTAAAAAGTTCACATGTAACGGTATTGAAAATCATTACTTGTGACGTTAGTAATGCGAGTTTGTTTTTCATATTGCTGAGCAGTAGAGAGTAAACGTACTGGAAAAAGCAATGTTATGAATACTTATATTTGCTAACTCAAATGGTCACTTGTTTCTGAATAGCTGGACAAATACTGATATATATCAGGATAACTTGATCTTAGAAGACAAAACTGTAGATAAGGTTTGCTATCACTACAAAATAACTACTCATTTGATACAAGTACTGGTTCACCACCGATTCAAAAACTATCAAGAGTTGTGTTGCGTATGATTCATTTAGCAGTTCAGTAGTCGAGTTTTAAAATTTAGAAGCATAATAGCAGTGTACACTATTCAATACCAGTTGTGCTGCTGCTTTAGGTAGGAAATATAATAAACTGGTGACTTACGCTTTTGCTTCTTCCTGATCATATTGTACGAAAAACCAAATAAGGGAAAATAACGGCGAACGAAGGAGAAATAATGCGCCAAAATGTCTGCTTTTTCATCTGTCCGGGGCAAATAATCCGAAATTTACCCTTTATGTCGCTCTGCGTCTCAAGTGTCGTTAAATTGCATACTTTTCGCCTGAGTATACGCCGAATCGTCTATTTTTCACCTAATAGTACGCCAAATCGTCTACTTTTTGCTAAAATATACACCTAATTGTCTACTTTTCGTCTATATACGCCGATGTAATTTTGCATCCACTCTTAAAACACCGTCATTACCTCAAACATCTATGTTCGCCTTCATCCCCACAGCACACGAAAAGTGAAATGTACATAAAATATGGTATATGTTCAAAAAAATTGAAAACAAAAAGCGTATTGTTGTAGTAGTTAGCAGATGCCAGAGCATCAGTCGTTATATTTTAATTGAGATTGCCTGGTGCCAGTGTCATTTGTAAAGAGCTACAAAAAAGAGCAGGTGATATTTTATTAATAAGGTACATGTACTTAATTGCGAATACAGGCTTTCTCAAATAAGAAAGTAAGCACATTTTTAAAAGAATATTTATTGAAAACGGAGTTTAACAGGAAAATTATTTCACAGATTATTTCTTTTCCTAAAGCCTGTTCGACTACTGAGAATCAAAACAATCTTGTGAATTTTAAAATGTAAAGTGAAATCGGTTAATATACACGAAAGACTTGTTTTTGCACAACTAGCTACTTGAAGCTGAACTCACGGTTATGTTCGTTAGCGCTAAAGACTGTACTCATATATCAGTCGATAATAGTAATCACTTTAAATTCATACATACGTGTCCTTTCTTCCTTCGATTACGCTTTTGTACCTTGTCTCTCATGTCGTGAAAATAATCTTGCGTCGCGATGTCATGCAGTTTCGCAAGGTCTTTTTCGTTAACAGTTGGTGACAGGAATCGATTAGTTAACGCACACATATTACTTCGTAGGCAGCCGTAAAACCTGCACTTCTGAAGTGCTCGTTTTGATGAAGTGCCAAGTAGCGTGAAATTACTGGCAACTTCAGGTGTCATAATTTACGACAAAATAAATATCATTGACGTTTTAGGATCATCATCCATTAAACGCATTAACATGGCCATCTGTAATACGAACAAATGATCAAATTAATGTCCGCTTACAAATCTGTCCTTTAAATCTTTCTGCTCTAGACAAGCGTCCAATGTTCCCAGTTGATCCTCAGATGACAAAGGGAACTGTTGACTTCATAGTCCACAGTCAAATTAACGCAGTTGTTCGCGCTCAGCGGACTTCGGAAGTAGCTTCACATTTGCACTCAACTCACAAATACTTGACGATATGTTCTGCAGCACAGTGTGCGGTCTATCGAATCTGAAAAACTGAACTTGATCGTACATGTGACTTACTCAGCCGCAAACGCCCTGTCTATACGCCTAGAATAGAACGTTAATGATAACGTATCTAATTGTGTCGAACCACTTAATTCCACCTACAAAGTAAAGAGACCTACTTGACAATGGAAGAGACGACACTATCTAACAACCGAAACTTGGGATATTAGACGCGGCTATACGTGATGTATTTAGGTTAGATAAGCTTATCAAAATGTGTATGCCAAAGTGTATTTCAGGTCCACAGTCTCTATGACTAAAAGCCATGTGCATGATAACTTTTCCACTGGTGTCCTAGTCCAAAGGCTAGTTAGTATTTGGTGAGTTGTTTAGAATTACGTTGATGAGTTGAATGTAGTTCAGTTTTAACATCTCACGGCTTATATATCTCTTACATACTGTAAGAAATTTACTTACATTTTATCCACATAATACTCGGTTTGATTGTTCGTTTAATTTAAAACAGAATGACGCGTTTTGTAAATGTCAAACGGAAAGTATTTTTTGATTTCTTACTGTTATCTATTCACCAGGGGGTATAGATTTATTCATTCGTCTTAAAGCCGTACTTTTTGTATGATAGCCTATTCTACTACTTAACTGCTCATAGGAAATTAGTAGGAGTAGGATATCGATCCGTTACATGTAATGTCCTTACCATTCAATCACCTGGTAATGCACAATTTCCTGGACCATAGTTTGCTAGGACACTTTTTTGACCAAATGTACTGAAATATAAGACATTTCACCTTGAAACTTCTATAGATGAAAAGAGATTCAATGTTAACACCAAAAGATGACTGTATTTTTTGTTCCATTGCTTATGGAAAGACAAATCAAACAATCCGTTTCGAAGTAAGTCTTGATTATTCTCGTTAATCAATAATTTTTCCAAACACTTACGAAAGACCAATGATTTAGTGATATTTGATGATCACTTACCAAAAGCGCAGTATCACTTTCAGTGTGTTCCTAAGAAGCATATAAGGAACGCTAAGTATTTGACATATGAAGATATACCACTAGGTAAACTCCGATTTTGCTTCATATAAATTAGTTATGGACATGATTAATTGCGGAAGGAATTATCTTACTAGTCAAATGAAATTGGACCCAGAAAATTTTCTGTAAATTACCATTTAATATAAAATAAGTTGTAGGTTTGGATTTCATTGGCCACCATTCAATAGTGTTCATCATTTACACATGCATATCCTTGGACCTAAACAACTTATGGGTTTTAATCCAATGTTTGATACACGGTATCGTATCTTCCGAAAGGTAAGTGTACGATTGTAATTATTTCGATGCTTTTTCTACCAATCCTTTACTAGGTTGAAAGCGTTTTAGAAAAGCTCAAAATTAAAGGGGAGAAGTAAAATAGGTCGACCTCAGGCAGTCAAATGAATAACCAAATATTTAGTTGACTTCCTTCACGTGCTTTCATATTTTCTTTCCTATTTTGCTGATCAAATCGATGTAGATAGTTTTTTTTATTTATAGACTTATATTCCATCATTTCTCAGACTTTAACGCTATCTTAAAAGCTGTTGTGATATTTTGTTTCGACAAGTAATATGTTTATATTGTTTTTTCAGATACGATTCTCAATGAATTATATTTTTTTATGATATCTTCATCATAATTTTTGATAGTGCGTTTGGGTACGACATAGAAGTTAAGGCTCTAGATTATCATCCAGTGTTCTGCAAGTCGGAAGCCCATTCAACCTATTTCCGTTTACCCATTCCAGCATCATAATTCCGTATAGAAAATCTGTGGCTCAAACTTGTAATGGATAAACGAGTTTAGTTGGTCATTGCAATAGTTTTAAATCCTCTAAAAACGGATGTAATATCAGTAGCGACGTCCGTTAGTAACAAAAACTGCGGGTTACAGTGAACTCTGGAAGCCTCTAGTGACTAGGCGGATGCTCTGAAATATATTTCGGCAAATTTCAATTGACGAGTTGATGCGATGTATACGTGGACCGAGAGCTGCTACACAATTACGCTGTGCGATGAAAGTGATGTATCTGTAAAGATAGGGTTTATAGCTAATATTGTATATCTAAGGCTTCATATATAGGTTGTTTGTAAAGAGACTAAAAAAGACGACTCAATAATGCACTAACATAAATGGACTGAGTTAATTAGAGAGTAAGTAATAGCTCAATTGGCTTTCATCTACTTCAATTTTCCGCTGTCTATCAACAGTCTGAAGACTAACGAAGAGCTAACACAAGAGTAAGGTAACAGGGAGGTTGGACTGACAATTTTAGGGGATACTTCAACAGTTAGTAAGATTGACCGAGATATAAGATAGGGACTGGATCAACTTCACCTAATTGATTAAAGCTCATAACTCAGGTCCAGATTCCCTGAATATGGTTGTAGATATTAAGTGATTTTTATTTATTTATGTAAACACATAAACATTGGTATAAGGAGGCACCAAATGTATATACGCCAAACTTCGTCATTTCATTTGTGTAAGGGCTGGAATACCGCCCGGGCGCCCAAACCGAAGCAGGTGATTTCCTCAGGTCACTCCCCGAGCGTTTGACCTAGAGGTCTAATCTACAAAGCAGTGGAACAACGTTAGGAGACACAGCCCCATTATCGCCGGTGATTAACAATAGTTTCATACTCCATTGTCCCTCGGGATCCCGAAGTCCATGTGCAGCACAGGTTTGGAATAGGGGTTTTCCAAATCCCCTAGATGGATCCTCCGTATCCATTAACCCGGCTAAAGTGCAGAACATTGGCTTTTCGTAAAAAACATCCATGCTGCGACGCATTAAGTAGGACTTCCCTGGCAGTAGCTGTATACATGCGCCGTGTGAAAGCGAACTCTCCCCATCCTCGGCCGTACCAAGGCATTAAAGGGTGCGATTGTTTATACTCGCTTGCAATAACACAAATGCATTGATTCTCTAACTTTTTGTAGACCTTCAGCTTAGATTCATTACGTACTTCTTTGCCTTCAATCTCATTTCTTCTGTCCAAACTATGTTTTGCCCCTAAATGCCCTGGTATGGCCAAGAGTGTTGAGAGTCCGCTCTCCCTCTCCAAATGCTCTCATATGGCCACGCTTATATATAGCTTCAGCCAGGGAAGTCCTACTCACTGCCTTCTCGTGGGGGGGGGGTGTTGTTTACGAAATTGAGAGGACGAAAAGCAAATGCCCGGCGCTTTAACTGGTTTGGTGGACACAGAAAGTCCACCTAGGGGAGTGGGTAAGCCCTGATTCCAAACCAATGGTGCACATGGGCTCCAGTATCCTGAAGTAACAAGTGGCGTATAAATCAATTGTTGGTCACCGGCTACCATGGGACTGCATCTCCTCACGATGCTCCACTGCCTTGTGGATCAGACTTTAGGTCAAAGGATCCGGGTGTGATCCCCTAAGAAAACCACCTGGTTCAGTTTAGGCACGTGGGCAGTATCACAGCCCTCACACAAATTGAATGAAATTTGTACGGCGCATATGTATCTGGTGCTTCCTTGTACAAATATTTATGTGTTTAAATAAATAAATAGCAAAAACTATGTTTTCAATTATTAGAATACCACTACAATTATCCTTTCTTCCCTACTATGCTTTTATTTAATTTCACTTTGTGCTGACGGTTTGGGAACTTGCAACAATGTATAACTATATTAGACGCAAGTGTTGACGACTGACTTCGTCAATAATTGATGTTGTAGCTTAGTTCCTCAGATTATATCATTCGTTTGAACTATTATTCTCGTAAATCCTGCTATACACAAGCAGTTTTTTAGAGATTTGTGGGAATATGATGTGTGGGACCATAGTACAAGAAAAAAGATGCATTTTTGGACGCTACTGAGCAATAATGGTTTCGAAGATTTTATCCTGGGTGACTATTGTTTCTTGTTCATTCGCACTCAAGAAAAACGAAGTTGTGAGGTTGTAGATGAGAAAGTAATGGGTGTATAAGACCGGGATCAGTCGTTTTATCACTACTCCAGTTAGAGCTCTAGAGGTTATTTAGTGCAGCCTTGACTGTCAAGCTTAATCTCTGGTCGCTTTGTCAATTTTCAACTGAACAGTATCTCTTACTGATTATTACTTCTGTTCATTTATTTATTGGAAACAATTAGTCGCTTTTATTTGTCATACAATATCCTAACAAATTCTAATGAGGTGTGACCACTTGGAACGATGTATATATGTGCCTAGTTCTACGTTGTAGCTGACTGACTTAACAACCATATGTGTGACCAGATTGCTCGAAATGTATTGATTGAAAATATAACGTATTTTGATAACTTTTGTACTCTGACCTCATTGTCCTTATTTATTGATTGATTGTACAACCTTTCCTTCGTCTATTTCTATACAACATCGCTTCCCTTGTGTGCAGTGCATTATTCGGAACCATGTTGTAACAGGATCAATATACCCAAGCAAATAGTAAACATGAAGGCCAAACCACAACTTTTAGTTTTCGACGGTGTATTCGTTTATTTAAAAGGTCGAGAAGTCCCGCGAAAATATAATGCCTTTGAAACGACTAAGTAAACGGCAGGGGTCAGGTGTGACGAGAATTCCATTAAGGCACAATTAATTGGGACACATTCGGTTTATCAATATCTGTTAATTTTAAATCAGAAATACCACTGAGTTCTACAACCCATCACCTAGCAAAATAATAGCACTACTAATTATACTAAAACAATCAAATCAAATATATTTCTTTATGATTATGAACAAGGTGTCATCACATTGGTGCTCAAACTAAAATATCACTTCAATTTTATAGACAAAGAGAAAATGGAAAGAAAGAATCTTTAGCAATTGAATGTAAAATACACATCAAAATAAAAATGGCATATAACACATTAGATAATTTGCAAGATCACATAGTAAGGGAGAAAAACTGTAAATTTCCTGCATCCTCCCTTCAGTCTGTTCCAGTTTCAGTTCACCTGATGCTTACGAAATGTACATAAATGTAACTCATAGGAATCATGAGTCAAACAGAAATGAGATAATTACTACCTACTCGAGGTATAAATCACAAAATATGTGATAGTACGGTATACTTGATTTGACAGTTTATTTCCTGTGAATGTTACTTGTTGCAATTAAGAATATAATAATGGGATTACTGATAGACCACATGTGTCGTGGCATAAAATGAAAAAAACATTCGTAAACAAGAAAATTATCGATGGTGAAAGATCTTTTGTTTTCTGTCTATAAAACCGTGATAGTTCTGTTCTATTAAATAAAACTATGATGAATAATTGAATGAAAAGTGTGATGGATGAGTTAAATATGTGCTTTTGGTTACTATTTCTTGTCATTGTAACAGAGTGAGAGACAAAGTGTGACCTGACAGAAAAGTTCTCACAGTTTAATGTAAGAGAAGAAAACGAACCATCGGAATTACGGACAGAAAAAAACAATCCTTCATATTGTGTACAGGGATTTAGGGGGAAATACAGTTATTGATTCGAAATCATCTACTGATGATAACATTAAAAATTATACATCGAAAGACTAACAAAGTGAATCCTCTAGACAAACTTATCCTATCAGTAGTAAGTAGCTGATTGGAATGGGTCCGACTGAAGGTCAACAGAATTTGGACTAAGTGGTTTTGGTCCACTCTGTGATCGAATACGTTCAGCTCGTCGAGTCGGAGTAAGAACTCCAACCTCCAGTGTTTGATGTGCTACAGGCGTTTGTTGTTTAGGAGTGTTTTCCTTAAAAGTATTGCGTTTGATACTTTTGCTTTCAAGGCTTCTCGTAGTGTTAAACGAATGGCGATTATAGCTGCTCTGAAATGAAGCAATTGAAAGCAAATCACAAAACCATATTTTATCTTAGAATAAAAGTATATCACGTGGTCATCCGACAGAAATGCAAATATCACACACTTCATTGAATTTACAAATAGACATCCCGAAAATACACATGATCAGTAGGATTACTTACAAGGGGAAAATAGACAATTCGAGGCCTTCATAGAACTGACAAAAGCCCTATTAAAGTTGGCTCTATTGAGAAAACATTCTGCTTAGGTAGATTAAAACCACTGTACACATTTAATTTTCCAATAAATTTGTAGTGATCGATCCGTTACCTTGATGGTCTTACATGATGATGGTCTCATATGTTACCTTTCATGAGAACACAAGCTACCGACCACGATTTTCCAACCAACTCTTTCCTCGGTTCTCCTTTCCAATTGTTTACAGGTTCTATTTATTCTTTTGATGTCTATCTCCAATTCCCGACGCAATGTGCCCCTTGTTTTTCTCAGACACATCATAGTGAAGAATGAGGTTCGTCTATCTACACTGTCAAACGATTTCTCATAGTCGAGGAAGTTGATTTGAAGTGA